AGGTCATTTGGGGGTCTTAGCTTACTGAGGAAGCTGAGACCCTATTTATTGGCAAATTTGTGCTTTGCTAATAAATTGATCATACTCAGAGTTTTGTGCCTCAGTTTACTTTAATTTCAATTGCAACAGCTCCCATGACAATCAGTGACCATGAGTACGTAGCTGCTACATTTCTAGCCTTGACAAGATAAGGAGACCTAGCCTTTATTTTTTATTTTTATTTAAAATTTTTTTTAAATTTTCAATTCCAAATTTTCTTTCTCCCTCTACTTATATGTATGATCATGCAAAACATATTTCCACATTAGCCATGTTGTAGGGGAAGAAAGGCAAGAAAAATAAAGAAAGTGGAAGGAAATATGCTTCCCTTTGCACTTACGAGTTCATCAGTTCTCCTTCTGGAAGTGGATAGCATTTTTCTCATGAGTCCTTTGGAACTGTGAAGGATCATTGTACTGATTAGAGTAGCTAAGTCTTTCACAGGTGGTTATCATTATAATATTGCAGTTAGTATGTATGATATTCTCATGGTTCTGTTTACTTCACTCTGCATCAGTTCACACAAGTCTCAGATTTTTCTGAAACTATCCCTTTCATTATTTCTCATAGCACAGTAGTATTCCATCATAATCATATGATTATGTTCAGCCATTCCCCAATCGATTGGCATTCCCTCATTTTCCAATTCTTTGAGACCACATACACACACACACACACACACACACACACACACACACAAACTGCTATGAATATTTTGTACATATGGATACTCAGTCTTTAAAAAAATAACTTGTTAGTTGATTGATGGATTGGTTATATAATCTAAGGTCTAAAGTTACAATGGGCAAGAGAAAATAGAGAGTATTGCACTGGAAATAAAGGACTTAAACCTACCTTGAAGGGCATTTAAAAACTTCATTCACAACCAGGCTTAGATTCACATGCTTTCAGCGTCATTCACAGCCTTTCCCTTCACACCCTCTTCCAATCTTTTGTACCTTCCCAAACAAGCAAATACCCCCAACCATAAGGCCAAAGAAGATAAGACCTGGCCTTCCTTGGTGGTTCCTGGGGAAGTAGCACCTAAATCCAGACATCCTGCTCTCACCTCTTCTTCAGTCTTCAAGCAAACCCACTCTCTAGGTTTGGCTTCTAGAAAATCAATCAATAAATACTTATTAAACACTTACTATATTCCAGGCATTGTGCTAAGCTCTGGGAAACAAAAAGAAGCAAAAGACAGTACCTACCCTCAAGGAGTTTACAATCTAATAGGGGAGGCAACATGTAAACAAATACATGCAAAGCAAGATATATATAGGAAATAATTAACAGAGGGAAGGTGTTGGAATTACGAGAGGTTGGGGAAGACTTCCTTTAGAAGGTAGGATTTTAGTTGGGATTGAAAAGAAGCCAGTCAGGGCAGCAGTTGGAGCAGAGGAGGGAGAGTGTTTCAGGCATGGAGAATAGACAGAAAATGGCCAGAGAGGTGGAGTATCTCGTTTGTGGAGCAGCCAGGAGGGCAGTGTCACTAGATCAGAGTATATATCAGGGAGTAAGGTCTAAGAAGACTGGAAAGATAAGAAGGGTTTAGGTTATGAAGGGTTTTAAACACCTAACAGAGCATTTTGTATTTATTTGATCCTGGAGGCAATAGGACACCACTGGAGTTTACTGAATAGGGGGTGACATGATTTGACATGCACTTTAGGAAAATCACTTTAGTGACTCAATGGAGAATGGTTTGGAGTAGGGAGAGACTTGAGGCAGGCTGACCCACCAGCAGGCTAGTGTAGTAATCCAGATGTGAGGTGATGGCGGCTTCTACTAAAGTGGTGGCTACGTCAGAGGGGAGGTGGGGGTGTATGCAAGAGATGTTGCAAAGATGAAATCAATACGCCTTGGTAACAGATTGGATATGGGGGGTGGGGTGTGAGAGATAGTGAGGAATCCAAGATAACTCATAGGTTGTGAGCCTGAGAGACTGGGAGGATGGTGTTGCCCTCTACAGTAATAGATACGGTAGAAGATGAAAAAGGTGGGGGTTTTTTTTGGTGGAGGGCGGGGTTAATGAGTTCTGTTTCAGACATATTGAGTTTAAGATGTCTACTGGACATCCATTCTGAGATATCTGAAAGGAAATTGGAGATACAGGATTGGAGGTCAGCAGAGAGAACACTGTGTTCTCATAGAGAACATGTAGCCCAACCATCTGAGGTTTGTGCAAAGGATAACAGGAGAGTAGTAGTGATCTCAAAAAGTAGCCCCTCGGGGGCAGCTAGGTGGCGTAGTGGATGCAGCTCAGGCATTGGAGTCAGGAGGATCTGAGTTCAAATCCAGCCTCAGACACAAAACACTTACTGGCTGTGTGACCTTGGGCAAATCACTTAACCCCATGGCCTAATCAAAAAAAAAAAAAAAAAAGTAGCCCCTCGGTCTCATTCACTACACCCTTACCAGGAACTAAACTCATGTTGGCAGAGACGTAAAAGGGATGTTGTCTAAAAATGGAAAGCTTTATGTTACAGCAAGGCGACTAGGAAAGGGGTCTGCAGGGGCCCTATATTCTTCCTGATTACTCTCTCTTGCTATTAGAGACAGAGGTGGCCTCAGAACTAGAAATGGATCTAATGTGGGGCTGGTTTGTATCAATGGTCGTTGCCCTTGGTTGGTTTCCTGGCCATTTCTGAGGAGCCCTTTAACCTCTCCTGCCACCTAGGAAAACACTTGGAGCAGTGAGGTCACCACTGAGGAGACACAAGATGAGAGCTAGGGGAAGAGACATTCATACATTAGGGTGGCATTGGGCCAACCACAAGGGACTGAAGTTCTCTAGGTACCAGACCTACACAAAATCTCTTATTCTTTTTTTTGTTTGTTTGTTTTTTATGCACAGATATTCGACTCTGTGATAACTTTTTCTTTTTTTAAGTTAAAATTTTTCTTTTTCTCAAATAATAAAAATCTATTTCACTCCTCACCCCTACTGGAAACAGAACAAAACAAAACAAAACCTTTGTAAAAAATATACATAGTCAACAAATTCCCACATTAGTCGTGACCAAAAAATATGTCTTAATCCACACTCTGTTACCTATCACCTCTCTCTCAAAAGGTGGGGAGCATATTTCATCCTAAGTCCTCTATAATCACGGTAGGTCATTGCACTGATCAGAATTCTTAAGTCTTTTAAAGTTGTTTATCTTCATAATATGCTGCTATTGTATGTGTTCTGATTCTAACCACTTAACTCTATATCAGTTCATACAAATACTCCCAGGTTTCTCCAAAGCCATTATTTCCATCATTTTGAAGAGGTTTGGGGTAAAGGTTAGGGGTGCTGAGACCCCGAGAATGCCAAGGCAGAATAGTCTGTAATGAATTCACACACTCAAGCCTTCTTTCAGTTAAGAGACAGCTTATTCTAATGCCAGTAGAAGTACACAAAGTCCCTTTGGGGAACTTGCACCCTAATAGGGGTGAATCTAAAGCTTATATAGAAAAGGGGCATGGAAAAGGAATGCCAGGGATGTTAATTAGGTAATCTAAGTGTCCAAGTGTCTTTGGGAGCAATGGATGGGAAAGTGTAGGGGAGTATACCAGACATTGAGGGACACGTCAGAGGCATGGCCTTGGGAATCTGGTGGGAGGGAGAGTACTTGGGCCAGCCAGGGATAAAAATCCTTGGGCCAGGCTCCCCTCTGTCTGTTCTGATAAGAGAATGTGTTCTGCAACAACAGAAAAGTTTCTCATGGGATAGAGGCCTACTGAGAAATTGGGAGGCTTCCAGAGACATGATCTTAGGGCTGGGGCCCAAGCACCCCATCAATTTCTTATAGCACAATAGTATTCCATTACATTTGTAGGTCATATTTTGCTCAACCATCCCTTAATTGATTGGTATGCTGTTTGTTTCCAGTTCATTTGCCTCATAAAAAGAGCTGCTAAAAATATTTTTGTTCATATCCACTGATCTTTTTGGGGTAAGGCCTATAGTGGAATCACATAGTTCAGTAACTTTGAGAACATAGTTCCAAATCCACTCTGTGAAAACTTCCCTACAAGGGCAAGGAGGGTCAGGGAATAAACACTTATATAGCACTTGCTGCTTGTCAGGCACTGTCCTAAGCACTTTACAAAAATTATATCATTTGAGCCTCAGTACAACCCTGCAAGGCTGGTGTTATTATCTCTATTTTACAGTTGAGGAAACTGAGGCAGACACTACCCAGCTGCACAGGTAGTGATCAGATTCCGCAGCAGCAAGGAACCTATTCATTCTGATTATATCATTGTTAGTTTTCCTGGTTCTGGGCAGGGGTAGATTTGGTGGTTAAGCCATACGTGGTTCTGACCTATGGTACATTGTTAAGAGTAATGGCCCTTAGCCCTTGATCCTTTTTGCCCTGGGGCTGCAGACAATTGACAGCTATAAGATTCTGAGCTGCTAGGTGGCGCAATGGATAGAGCATTGGTCCCAGAGTCAGGAAGACCTGAGTTCACATCCTGCCTTAGTCATTTACTAGCTGTGTGACCCTGGGCAAATCATTTAAACTCTCTCTGCCTCAATATCCTCAACTGTAAAATAGGCGAAAAAAAATAGTATTTACCATCTAGAGTTATTGTGAGGGTCAAATTAAATAATATTTGTAAAATACTTAGCGCATAGTAGGCACTTAATGTCTCCTTCCTTCCTTTTTTCCTTCCTTCCTTCTTTTTTCCTTCTTTCTAGGGGTCCCTAAGCTTGGGGGGACCTTTATAAAGCCCATGAAGTACCAGAGAGGAAAGCCTGTTTTGGGGGCTCCCATGGGGCAGCCCCAGGTAGGGGAAGCCCCTCTACCTTTTCCCTAATCCCAGGAGTTAGCCTTAGATTAACTCAAAAGAGTGTCTGAGGCTATTTCATCTGTAAAATGAGGGGATTGGACTAGCTAAGGTCCCTTACAATTATAAAATCATCATATTGTGATATATGTGTTTGTGTGTGTGCAAATCTTTCCTAGGAAGCCAATGGTCCTTCAGACAGCTATGCTGCTGTAGCCCAGGCAGACAGGCTAAGTCAGGAACCAGAGAGCATCAGAAAATGGAGAGAGGAGCAGAAGAAACGGCTGCAAGAGCTGGGTGAGAGTAGGGGGGAACCACAGGGAGCCTGACAGCTCTGTCTGTCTCTGGCAGGAGCGCTGAGGCCCTTGGAGGGGATGGGGTGCCTGGATATACTGGGTGGCTCTTCTATGCCAGGCCCATTGACCTGTGCTGGGAAATTGGGGGAGGGCAAGAAATGTGGGGAGGAGGTATTAGGAGAGGGAAGACAGGCTTTAGGAGGTACTCTTCAGCTGCTCCCTGCACTTAATCCCCTGTTTGGACCCCAGATGCAGCTTCTAAGGTGACTGAGCAAGAGTGGCGGGAGAAGGCAAAGAGGGACCTGGAAGAATGGAATGTGCGACAGAATGAGCAGGTGGAGAAAAACAAAATCAGCAACAGGTATGAGGCATGAGAGGCATTTGGGGAGGGGGCTTAGGGGAACAGGGAATGTTTGGGAGGAGGAGGATTTGGGAAAGGGCAAGAGTATATGGGGGAAGGGATAGGTGGGCAGGGAGGTATCTCAAAGTTGGTAGAAAAAGAGGGGTTGGGGGAGCAGGAAGTATTTGAGGAATCTGGGTAGGAGGGTGCAGGAGTAGCTGGGAGGGCAAGGGGTATTGGGAGGATTGAGGTGGGAGAGTAAGCAGTATTTAAGAGAGTGAGGGCAAGAGAGAAAAGAGTATTCAAGAGTAATGTGGGAGGGTGTGAGTGGGAGTGCAGAATATATTTGGGAAGAAGGGGATTTCTGGGAGGACAAAAGGTATTTGGGAAGGCAGAGAGAGACCAACTGACTTAAGAGGTGGCTTTCTGTCCTAATCAGAATAGCCTCCCTGGCCCTTCACCACAACTCAACCATATTATAATGGTCTTATTTCTCTCACAGCTCTTCCCAGACATTCAACTGCATACCCTTTCCCTGCCCCGCAGGAAGCTGGGAGAGGGCCACTGCTTACTGCTAGAAACGGAAAAAAAAAGTTTCTAAGAAGTTAGTGTGGTAGTGTGATGATCTCTGCAGGCCAAAGGCCCTGCCCTGTTGCAAAGCTGGAGACAGCCCAGGACCCTACTAGACCAAGCTGCCCCTGTGGGGAGCTCAGTCAGGCACATTGTTTTGTGCTCTCTTCTTCCATACCTATGCTTTGAAAAGCCCTCGCCCTTCCTTTCTTCTTTCCTTCCTCCCTATTGAGGGCTATGAGTAGCCCTGCTGCCTTCCCAAATGGGTCTGGTGCTTCTAACATCTCTTGGGCATTAGTGCACTAATGTTGTCTTTCTTTCTCTTTAACCTTTTTGTCTGCCTCTCTTTCTTCTGCCATCCTGGCTTCTTTTGCCTAACCTTTCCCCTCAAGGATCGCTGACAAAGCATTCTACCAGCAACCAGATGCGGACATCATAGGTTACGTGTACGTGTCTCCTTTGCTTACCAGTCCCAAGAGAAGCTTGGGGTGGAGAGCAGTGTGTTGGGTGAGGCTATCAATGAATGATCCCCTGACCACAGCTGGCTGATGGTTCCCTGTGCCCCAGAGCCTGGGAGGCCAGAGAAGCATGGCTGGGCTTGGTGGATTTGGTTGGGAACAGCATGGAAAACTATAATTCTATTCACAGCTGATGAAATCTAAGAATAATCAGGATAGAAATTCTGCCAGTGATTTCATTGTTATAAGTAACTGCTGGAGGAGGAAACTTCCTCTAAAAATTTGTTGTTGTTGTTCAGTTGGGATTTTCTTGGCAAAGATGCTAGAGTGGTGTGCTATTTCCTTCTCCAGCTCATTTTACAGAAGAGGAAACTGAGGCAAATAGGGTTAAGTGACTTGCCTAGGGTTACACAGCTAGTAAGTGTCATATTTGAACTTAGGTCCTCCTGACTCCAGGCCTGGGGTTCTATCCACTTCACCATGTAGCTGCCCAAACAATTCAGAATGGCATCTCCTATGCAACATACAATCATAGCTGCCTAGAGCACTGAAAGGTTAAGTAACCTGCCAAAGGTCACACAGTCAGTATTAATCAAGAAGTGGAAGTTAAACCCAGGTCTTCCTGGCTGTGGGGTCAGTGCTTTGTCCACCACACCACATTGCCTCTATGATAACGATGCTGCTGATGCTGATGGTAATGATGACAAATATTGATAATAGTTTCCATTTTTATAGTACTCTAAGGTTTACACAGTGCTTTCAGCTTTCCTTATAATGGCCCTTGAGGCAAACTGAAGTTCCATGACCTTAAGGGGACCCTAGGGTAGAGGGGAGAGGGCTCTTTGGCACAGGAAGATAATCATGAAAGTCAAAGTGCAGCCCAATGGGAAACCGTGCATGATACTCTTGCTTGGATCTAGAGGGGGAGAAAGCAAACTCAGGAGAGGCTCAACTGGTAGGGGAGGGACTGGGGTAGAGTACCACAAGGCTCTTCTTGGCTCTGTTCTGTTCAATATTTTTATCAATGACCTGGACAAAGGCATGGATGGAATGCTTAACAAATCTGCAAATGACATAAAACTTGAAAGGAGAGCTAATAGTCAATAATCAGTCAATAAACATTTATTAAATGTCTTTATGTGCCATCAGGCAGGCACTATTAAGTGCTGGGACAGAAAGGCAGGCAAAAAACAGTACCTGTTCTCAAGGAGCTAACAGTCTAATGGGGGAGACACCAGGAAAACAACTATGTACAGAAAAACAATATACATGATACCTAGGAAGTAATCGACACGGGGGAGGCACTAGCATGAAGGCTTCTTGTAGAATGTAGGATTCTAGGTGGGACTTGAAGGATGCCAGGGAAACCAGGAGGTGGAGATGAGGAGGGAGAATGTTCCAGACCCAGGAGATAGCTGGTGAAAATGCCTTGAGATGGAGTTTCTTGTTCAAGGAACAGCAAGGAGGCCAGTGTCACTGGACAGCAGAGTCCATGTGTGGGGTTGTGAGGTGTGAGAAGGCTGGAAAGGTGAGAGGGCTGTAAAAGTCAAACAGGGAGTTTTATATTTGTTCCTGGAGGTGATAGGGACCCATTGGAGCTTGATGAGTTGGTGGAATGAAGAGAGGTGGCGGGTGGACATGATCAGACCTGGGCTTTTGGAAGGTCACTTTGACTTGGCTATGTGGAGGATGGATCGGAACAGGCAGACTAGCCAGTGAGCTATTCCAATTGTCCAAGTGTGAGGTGATGAGGGATCAGTTTGTGGCAGTATCAGAGGAGTATGGAAGAGATATTCCGAAGGTAGAAATCAATAGATGTTGTCAAAAAATTAGATATGGGGGATGACAAAGCGTAAGAGTGCAAGATAACACCCAGGTTTCTAGCTTAGGTGACTGGATGTCAGTACCATCAATGCTAATAGGAAAGTTAGGAAGTGGGGAAAGTTTGGGGTGGGAGGGAAAATAATGAATTCCATTTTGGACATATTGAGTTTAAGATGTCTATAGGACATTCAGTTCAAGGTGTCCATTAGGCAGTTGGAGATGTGAGACTGGAGATCATCAGAGAGGTTAGGACCAGATAAGTAGATTTGGGAATCAAGGAATATAGATAGTGTTTAGAATGAGGTAGATATGCTAGTCCCACTGTCCACTTCAATAAATCACAACTAGAGTATTATATCCAGTTCTAAGTATTTCATTTTAGGGAGAATATTGATAAGTTGGAGCACATTGAATGGGAAGGGCAGAGTACTAGGATGATGAGAAGATTGGAGAACAAGACATATAAGAATTGGTTGAAGAAATTGGAGAAGAGGAGAACATTATCACCACCTTCAAAAATCTGGAGGGCTATTATATGGCTGTTATGTAGATAATTGTTCTACTTGGTCTTGGGACAGAAGTAGGAGCAGGGTAGAAGCTGTAGGGAGGAAGATGTTGGCTGGCTGGGAGGAAAAAATTCCTCTAACAAGTAGAGCTGTCTAAAAGTGGAATGAACTGCCTGATGTTCCCCATCCCTGGTGGTCTTCAAGAAGAGGATAGATGACCACTTAAAAGGCATGGTAAAAAGGAGGTTCTTTTTCAGGTACATATTGGATTCATTGCCTTTTGAGGCCCTTTCTAGTTGTGAAATCCAAGGTTATATGAAACGAGTAATAAGGGATTTGGGACCAGAAAGCCTTCTCTCAGCTTAAGAAAGGAGAGCACCATCAGATGGGAAGGATGTGATAGACTGACTGGAATAGATAATAGGCTTCAGCTAAGTAAAGAAAAATGCTTTTCAGGGTTTAGGGAAAATTTCTTGACAAGGAAAGCCAATCTCTGGATTTGTCTTCCCTTTAGGAGAGGTAGTCTCAATCTTTGCCAATGGGATAAATGGTCATGCTTTCCAGAACCATGCTTACTTCATCTCCCAGATCAAGAACATACTTTGTCTTATAGAGTGCTTTATAATTTCCAGAGGATGTTCACAAACTTCAGGTCCTAGCTAATGGTCCTGTGAGGGAGATAAGGCAAGGAGAATTTTCATCATTTTACAAATAGGAAAAGCATGACACATAGAAATGACTTGCCCAGGCTCACAAAGCTGGTCAGGACCATAATCTAAATTTTTTCAGCTCCCAGTTCTGACCTGGAAGGGTCACAGGATCACACATGCACACACACACATACACACACACACACACACACACACACATAAAATAATGAGGATCTGAGATATGGCTTGGATCTAATATAAAGGGCAGTCTGTCAACAATAGAACAGGGACTCCAGAAAGCACAGCGGACATAGTAGGCAAGGGACACCAGATAGAAACACCAGAAGGATGGATTTGCCCTGGATGGGTATTAGGGAGCTAGGAGGGCTGGTCAGGGGAAAGACCTTTGGCCTAGATAGATTGTAATTCACAGGGATTCTTTATAGCAAGAAGGCTCCCAAATGCCAAAATGGGAACGATCTTATAGGGCATCTGCTCCAGCCCTCACCAGAATCATGTATCCATTGCCTATACTACTGTCCTATTAAGTGGTCATTTAGCCTAACTGGATGGCATCCAGTAATGAAGGATCTATTCCTTCCTGCAACAGCTCATTCCATTTCTGGATTGCAAGTTTTAGGCTAGAAATATCAGTTGAAAAGAGAAGTTGACTTTGCTCATCTGGGAATAGGGCCAGATACCAACGTCAGTACGCACAACAACATTGAGTCAGAGGCTCTGGGTTTGAATACTGGGCTCTTTCATTTACTGCTATGTGACCACAGAAATATCCTTTCCCTTTTATGGACCCCAGTTTCCTTGTATAGGAAACGAGAGAGTTGAAATAGATGGTGTATGAGGTCCTTTTCAGCTCTAACATTTGTTGATTTCGTGATCCTATGGCTGTCAGCTAAGATGATTTTACATATTCTTGGGCAAGTAGTGAGTGATACCTGTGTCTTTCCTTCCTGCAGAGCATCAGAAGAGGCCTTCCTGAAGGAGTCTAAGGAAGAGGCACCTGGCACAGAGTGGGAGAAGGTGGCCCAGCTGTGTGACTTCAACCCCAAGAGCAGCAGGCAGTGCAAGGATGTATCCCGCATGCGTTCTATGCTCATCTCCCTGAAACAAACCCCACTGTCCCGCTAGGCACCCATCAAGGGTTACCAAAGAGCAGAGGGTGAGAAGGCTGAGGCAGAGGCCTAAGAAGAAGAGAGGAGGGAAGGAAAAGCAGCTTTGTTTGCTCTGAAAGTCACTCCTCCAATAGCCACAGCACAAAATGTTTAGTCAGTTCCCCCTCACCTTTTGGGGCAAAGGGAGCCCCCTCCCTGGCCTCTTCCTTCCTTCTCAAACTCACCCCCTTAAGTGTCACATCTACCATTGGTTTGCCACGTCATGACCATCGAGTCCCACAGGTCTTTTATTTTTCTTGGCTTAAAGGTTGTGTTGTTAACTCTTTTTACACTTATTTATTATCATTCTTGTATCTTTGGAAGCTACAATCTATGTCAGGATGCCTTTGTATTAGGTCCCATTCTACTATCTGTAGGACCTTTGCAAAGTCCTTTCCTTTTTCTAGGCTTCAGTTTACTTGTCTGTAAGACGAGGGGGTTTCACTAGATGACCTCAAGGTCATTTCTTGCTTTAAATCATATTAGTCTTGCCCAGCTCCATGACCTTCAAGGACAGTAGAATCCAAGAGCACATGCCAGCTAAAATCTGTGGGACCCCAAAATAGAGCCTTCTCCAGCCCTTACAGGTATCCCCAGATAGTGTCTCCAGTTTTCCTTCGAGTATCTCAATGGTCAGAGGCCATTCCAATAGGAAATGCTCGATCATGTCTGAAGTTAACTCTTGCAGACTCATCTTGTAAAAATGGAGAAGTAATCAGCCAAGGTGGGGTGAGGAATCAATCAATCCATCAATCAATCAACCAACAAGCATATATTAATTATCTACTGTGCACACACACACTGTTGGGTACTAGGGAAACAAATACCTTACCCTCAAAGAACTTATATTCCTTTAGAGGGATAAGACATGTTCACAGATAAACAAATACAGGTTGTAGACAAAATAAATGCAAAATTACTTTGAGGTTGGGTAGAAAGTGAAGTAGAAGAAATGGAAGTGGGGAGAATTCAAGGGAGTGAAGGACTAGAAGAGACAAGAACAGTATGCTCTGGTGGTGGTTTCCTCTGGAGCTTAGCTGAAAACAAAGGGTGGTCCTAGTCCCATAAAAAATTTTGAGCAATTACAGGTCCTACCAACCTGACTCCCAGCTGGGCCCAACTACCAACCAAGACTCCCCGAAAGGTCATGATTTAGAAGAAAGACTAAAATTTCTTTGGATAAGAGGTAGCTACAATGATCAATGCTGGATATTCACTAGATATCAATTTACACATACCACTGTCCCCACTCCCTATTACACTGTCCATCCCTTAAGCCCTTTCCCTTATGAGGAGCCAGGAAAAGCATCCTTTTTTTTTTTTTTTTTTTCCCTTCTGACAGCCTAGACTATATTTGAGTCAAGGTATCTATTCTGGGCTTGATATTTTCTGTTCATTTACTAGCTAAGACCATTTCCATTGGCCAGTCCCTGGCTGGGTGATACCAGTTTCCTCAATAATTGGTATCCTTGCCTTTTCCCTGGCCATAATCCCAGCCTTCTTGGTTAAGAGCCCAGGTCTCTAGCCTGAGCAGAACCTCAGCCTCTACCTTGGTCATAGCTCTACTCCTCTGCTTGGTTAACCAATCAACCACCAGGCATTTATTATGCATCTGTGTGAACCAGGCACTGTGCTAGGTGCTGGAGACACAAAGACAGCCCATGCCCTCAAAGAGCTTATATCCTACCAGGGCAACAGCATGTTCACCCACACGCAAATACAGGATATACACAAAATTAATACAAAGTCATTATGGAGCACTAACAACTGGAAGAAGCAGGAAAATCCTTGGTGAAGGAGGCACTTGAGTGGAGCCTTGAAGAGTGCCAGAGGTTCCGAGCAGAGGAAGTAAAGAGGGAGAGAATTCTCCTCATGGGGTACAGTCTGTGCAAAGGCTCAGGGGTGGGAAATAGAAGGTCCTTACCAGCAGACCAGTTTGGCTGGAATGGAGATTATTTGAGGAGAGGTAATATGTAATCAACCTCAATTCATTTCATCACACATTTTAAAAAGCAGCTGCTGTATGCAAAACTCTGTGGTTCAAGCTGGGAGAGATTTGAAGGACGTGTGGACTTGACAGTTTAGAAGGTAGACAGAACACTTATGTAGACAGCAAGAATCCATGACATCTAACATGTCATGCAAAGTCATTAGCCAGGAGCTCAGGGACAGCTTCCTGAAGAGGCCAGCATAAAATTTAGTACTTTTACAAAATCAAGTTTCTACATGGTTGCTTTCTCAGCTAAGCAGATAAAAGGTGAGCTGCAGGTATAGGAGACAGCCATAGTGCTCAACAATCTCTCATTCACACTTCCTCAGAGACCATGGTGGATATCATTTACTTTTTTCTAAACTTTAAGAAGCTTTCTTTGACCATCCAGAAACCTTGATTTCCAGACTTTGAGGATCAATGCCAGGCAGATCACCCTCAGATATAAGCTGATACATGACTGAGCTTTGAAGGCTGGACTGCATTTGAAGAGTCATCTTTAGTGGCAGCCCTTTCCGTCCAAGTATGACCTTTAGCGTTTTGATAATTTTCTAGTGCTCAAAGGTTTCTCTCATACATTTCTAGATGGCCACATCCTTGCTAGATGAAATGTCATCTACCATGATGAACTTCTTAGGGAATTGGTACAAATGGCCATTGGCAGCTGTCAGAAAATTCTGAAGAAAACTCATTCAGGCCCTAGCTTCCATCTATGCCTGCCTTCTGCTACCCTGATATAAATAAGCAGCTGCTGGGTCAGAATGGGTAGAAACACATCATAGAGAAAGGCAATTTCAATGAGTAATATCATTGTCTGGCTTTTGTCTCTGTGCGCCTATTTCAAATCTATTAAAAATAAATTGAAGCCAAAGGAAAAAAAAAATATTTCCCCAGACAGAACAAGATCAATCAATCGATATTAAGGGCCTACTATGTGCCAGGCATTGTGCTAAGAGCTGGGGATACAAAAAGAGGCAAAAAGTAGTCCCTGCCCTCAAGAAGCCTGCAGTCTAACAACATGCAAACACATATATACAAACAAGCTATATACTGGATAAATAGGAAATAATTAACAGAGAGAAGCCACTAAAATTAAGAGGGGTTGGGAAAGACTCCCTGTTAAAGATGAGATTTTAGTCGAGACTTAAAGCCAGAGAAATATGCAGAACTGAGGAGGGACAGGAAGGGGGACAACCAGAGACAATGCCCAGAGCTAAGAGATGGATCGTCTTGTTTGTGGTTCAGTCAGGAGGCCAGGTAATTTTCCTATGTTTATCTACACTGAGTACTTGGCTGTGGCTGTCCTTCCACCCAACTCTGATCTCCCTGGTGCTCAGCAGACTGACAGATATGAAGACTAGGTAAGCTGAGTTACAAAATGGCCAGGTATTACAAAGGCTTAGAGGTGAGGGCTTAAGCCAAACTCAGGTTAGAGGTCAGATGATAATCATGCATATTTATAGAACACTTTGATTTATTCCTTCTACATTTACTGAGTACATATCACATGCAGAATTTTACATACAGGGTTAGTGTTATAGTTTGGGTTACTCACGTTCTGGCACCTTGTAGACTCTAGTTAAGAAGACAGAACCAACAACTGTAATACACAGCATGTAATACACATGTGACAAGTGCAGTCAGAAAGGTACCAAGTGCTATATAAGGACCCTAGGAAGTCACTCCCCTGACAAGACTCAGAAGACTTGAGGTGGCATTTGATTTGTGCTTTATGTTTACAAAGCACTCTACATATATTATCTCATTTGATTCTCACAATAATCTCATGAGGTAGGCAGTTTAAGTGTTATTGCTTTCATTTTATAGGTGAGCAAACTGAGGCCCAGAAAAGGGAAGTGAATGCTCAAGGTCACACAGCTCCTAAGTAGCAGAGCTGCAACTTGAGAACCCAGGTCTTGAGAAAAGTGCTTTATAAGCTGCAAGGTCATATATAAATGTGAGTTAGTATTATTATTCTGATTCCAGGTCTAATGTTCTTTGTATCTCACCTAGCTTTCTTTCAGACTGCTGATTTCTGGGGTGGGGTTGGGGTAATAGAAACAACTAAGGAAAGCAGATTTCAAACCCACCTTTATTTTTTCATTTTTTAAGCACCATGGTATTCTACTCCACAATCCTCTCTAAAATCTTCTCTTTTTTGTGAGATCGAAGTGCTTGTAAAATGTTTTCACCTTACAGCTATGCCTACCTCATTTCTGCTTTGCTCCCTCACCAATCTGTAGGCAGTAACAACACATGCTTAAAGGCACTCAAAGGTTTACAAAGCACCTTTCTCAGAGTCCTGTGAGAGAGGCAATACAAGTATTATGCCATTTTTCAGAGGAAACAAAAGCTCAGAAAGGTCAAGTGACTTGTCCATGGTTGCATAGCTAATATCAGTGCCAGGATTCAAACTCAGGTCCCTGTCTCCAGGTCCAAGACTCTTTTTCCTATACTGTGCAATTTCAGAGAAATCACAGGCTTTGAGAATGAGGAGGAACCTTAGATGTCACTTTGTCCAACTTTCCCATCTACGTCAGAATCCTTTTATAAATAATTACAAAGCTCTCCTATTTTCCCTTTTGAACAGCAATAGCAGTTGTCAGAGAATTATGAGGGAAACTCATTCAGCGCCCAGTTTCCATTCTTGCCTTCCTTCTACTACCCTGATACAAATTAATATTTTGTGCAGCTTTTAACTGGTTCTGAACCATATTTATAAGAGAAATAAGCTAATTTCAAGGGGGAAAACCTCCTCCTCCTCTTTATGTGTTCATTGATATAGACAGAATCATCTTCATTTCTTAGCACTTCATGAGTTACACTGGCCAAAAAAAAATCAGCTGATGGTCAACCTTTAGGGAAGGGAAGGAGCTTCTCTGCACTTACCTAGGCCAGAACTCATGACAGGCCTCCATTAAAAACCTTCTCTTACTTTAAGCTGAAAATAGCATGGTGAGGGAAGTAGGGCAAGAATTATCATCCATGCTCATTTTACAGACGAGAAAATGGTTGCTCAGAAAGGTGACCTGGTTTCCCTATGACAGAAAGCTAGTTAGTGGTAGACTCAGGACCACAATCCAGGTTTGCTGACTCTGAGTTCAGTTCTCTTACCTGAAAGACTTCAGAGCCTGTAGCTTAAGTTAGTTCCCCTGAGAAAGGTATCACTGGTATCAAAGGTGGATCCTCTGGACCAAATTCCTTTTCTCGATTTGTTTTGGTAGGTTTATAGATTTAAAGCTGACAAGTACCTCAGGGGCCCATCATCTAGTCTAGCACTTTATAGATGAGAAACACTGAGGCCTGGACGATTTCAGATGACTTATGTAAGGAAACAAGGGTAGTGAGCAGAGTTGGGTTTCAAATCTAAGTCCTCCCACTCTAAATCCACTGCTCCATTCACTGGACCACTTATTTCCTTTGTAAAACAAGGGGACAGAACTAAATGCGTCTTTCAAGTTCTGATTCCTCTGACATACTGTTTTTTATTACACAACCAGACCACATATAATTCAGAGAACTGAGATTAAGGTTAAATCCATAGAGCTCTGTCAATCAGTCTGGGCACATGGTGCAGAAAAAGAATATCTATCTTGGAGTAAGAGCTTGAGATTGCTTTTCTGACACTTATCCTTCAACTTCTCTGTGACTTGGTTTTCTCATCTGTAAAATGGAGATATTTGTACTATCTACAGGGTAGTTGTGAAAAAAGTATACTGAAACACTCAAGGAATGTAAGGAATTATATTTATTATTTATCTACTAGACACCATATGGATAATACAATGAGGACTATCTGGGAGGAGCAGAAAAAGGACTAGCAAAAAAAAAAATTGAAGACAAGTTCTGTTCTCAAATCCAAACTCATTTCATTCTTTAATGAAAAAACCTGTTACATTATCAATAGTTCTGCCTGAGTGAAACACAGGACTCATTCAGTACCATTAGATATGGTTTCAGCATGGGGCCAAGAAATTCCTCCAATCCCTCTCTGGAAAGCTGCTTGGGTCCCCTGCAAATGGTCACTGACTCTTTGAAGTAATGGGCCATTGGTCTCAGTGAGGCCTGGGTGATTTCATGGCTGAAACAACCAAGCCCCCCAGAATGGCCATCACTGTAAAGCCCTGAGCCAAGATCCTGGTCCGCATCATCAGTTGGGATTTCTGGCTGTTGCCCCGGTGAAAGCAGTACAATCCATAAGACAAGGCTCCAGCTGTGGCCAGACAACCTGTAGGGGAACAAGACAGGTGGAAAGAGGAAGTTCAACATCAATCCAAATAGTCAACCAACATGCATTTATTAAGTACCTTCCATGTATCAGGTGCAGTGCTAGGGATACAAAGACAAAAATGACAAAACCCTTGCCCTCAAGGAGTTTAAATTCTATAGAGAAAGATAAATATTATTTTAAAAAGACCTAAGGAGCTTTGTCTCCTCTCTGTACTCAATTCTGAATCAGAGATGAGTCCGTGGCCCCAAGAGGCTTACAATCTCTTGAGGAGGGGGCAAGGGAGAGGAAGTATTTATATATAAGTAACTATAATACACACAAAGAATAGAAGACAAGTAATTATGAAGCATGAGATAGGCTATTTATGGAAGACAAAAAAAATAAAAATCTCTAATTCCTTCCCCCCAACCCCTTCCCCGCCCCGGCTGTCCCAGCCTTGTGTTTCCTAGGCCCCTTCCCCACTTTTAGACCTTCCCTTCCAGGAATGCCCTTTCCTGTGCTCTTACAGTGACAGTCCCCAGCATCGGGCGCAGATCCCTCCCCGGCCAGGACATGCCTCAGACCCCGGTTCGGCTCTCGGTGTCTATCCAATCAAGCCCAAAAAGCATTTACCGTGCGCCTTTGGTATTCCAGGCCCGGAACCGGGCGCCGAGGATACAAGAGACAAAAACGAAGCAGTCCCTGCCCTCCTGGGTGGGGGCCCCACCCGACACACAAAATGGGTGAATTCGAGGTGGGCGGGGTTGGGAAAGGGTTTGGGGACAAGAAGACGGCGCCGGGGTGACCTTGGGGGTCCCCCCACCCCAGCATGCGCTCCCTGCTCGGCTTCCTGCCCCCTCGTCTCGTCCCCTCCTTGAGCCTGGTCCCCAGTCCCGTCCCCCCGTACCCCTCACCTATGGGCACCACCGGGTTCTCGCGGATCTTGCGTTGAAATTTGTCCCTCACGCTCTCATCCCGCAAACGGTGCGGGGTAGGGCTGAAGCCCTCAATAACTGGGGGCGTCGCGGGGTCAAAGGCCACCTCCGGAGCCACTGACCCAGGAGTTGACATAGCAGTGGACGCTGACCTCTCAGCCCGACGATTCCTCCACACTTTCTCCCGGCCCTTCCTTTTCCGCTGCCGAAAGCACTTGTGGTCAAATCAGCGGTTCGGAGGGAGCGGAACCTGCGCACTCCTCGGCACATGCGCAGTGGAAGATCGCGGGGAGGGTCCCACCGACCGGGAAGACTACCTTTCCCAAGAGGCGATCGGGGCACTACGCTAAGCGCGCGCAAGAGCCTGCGCAGAAAAGGCGGAGGCGTCTACGTCTGCGTCGGCGGCTGCGGAAAAAGAAGCGAACGGCTTCCACGCGGGTCATCGGTGACTTCGGTTGGGCGCGTGTGAGCGGTTGGAAGCGGTGGGCCCGGAGTCGTCACGATGCCTAAAGCGAAGGGAAAGAACCGGCGGCGGAAGTTCGGTTATAATGTCAACCGGAAACGGCTGAACCGTAACGCGCGGAGGAAAGCCGCGCCGAAGATCGAGTGGTGAGCGCGAGGGCCGGGGCTGGGGGACTGAGGGCGCGGGCCGTGCGGGAGGCGAAGCGGGCTCCGCTCACGGCCCTGCTTCTGCTCCCGCAGCTCCCACATCCGTCATGCCTGGGACCGCTCCAAGTCTGTGCAGCAGAACCTGGCGGAGATGGGCCTGGCCATGGATCCCAACAGGGCCGTGCCCTTCCGGAGAAAGGTACGTCCCGGCCCCCCCCCACTCACGCAGGGCCCCCAGAACAGAGCCTCTAGCGGGTGGGTCCTTCGGGCATCCCGAATCCAGCGGAGAACTCACCTTTGGCACTCTCTCTGTCGCCGGCCACTCACCCAGATTCCCATCGCACCCAGGAGTCAATCGACCCCTCACTCTCCCGTGCCAGCCTCCCAGTCATTCAGCAAGCATTCATTAAGTGCCAGGCATGGTGTTAAGTGCTGGAGGTAGGAGGAAAGTCAAAAACATTCCCTGCCCTTTGCTCTGCTGGCACAACGTCTTTCAAATGAGTCTCCTCTTTATTCACCCAGTTGCTGTCTTTGTTCAGGCTCTCATCATCTCTTACCTTGACTATTAACCTCCTTGGTTTGTCTCCTATCTCCAGTCTCCACAGTCCATTCTCACGCTTTCCAGTCCATTGCTTGAATAGTTGCCAAAGTGATATTCCTAAAACATAGATCTGATCATCATGTCATTCCCTGGTTAAGCTTCAGTGGTTCCCTGTTCCCCATAGGATCAAATACAACCTCTCTTTTTGGCATTTGATATCTCTTGCAGCCTGACTCCAGTTTAGCTTTCCAGATTTATTACACATTAATCCCCTTCTCTTAAATTCCAGCCAAGTTGACCTATTTACTGCCCTTCAGACAGTATTCTGCCTCCCATCTTCTAGCCTTTTCACAATTCCCCATGCTTGGAATTGTTTATTCTTCACCTTTGACTCTTAGAATCCATTACTTCTTTCAAAGTTTAGCTCAGATGCCATCACCTACATGTGATGGCCATTCCTGATTCTCCCAGTTGCTAATGTCTTTTCCTGTCCATCTCATCTGTTCTCCCTTCCCTATTATCTTGTATTTACTTTGTATATTGTTTGTACCTACTTATTTATGTATATGTTGTTTCCCAAGTTAAGTTCCTTGAGGGAGAGGACTCTAGCTAGGATCCTAGCATATAGGGGGTACTGCTTATTTATTGACTGGAGTGCTGAACTTGAATATCAGGTTGGCACAACTTCATTTAGCATCTAATTAGGAATATCTACATGAAATAGGCTAGTAGATAGCATGCATTCCCCCATTCCAGGTGAACTAATCCCTTGCAAAGCTCTACACTTTCTCCTCTTCCAGTGGCAAAGGGGTTTGAGATGGGTTTGTCATCTCACTGGTCTGGTGTCTAGGGATATGTCCTTAGGTCTGAAATGCTTTCACACTCTCCCAGTTGAATTTGCCTTACAAAACTAATTTAATGTCACCTGTTGTACTTCACAGTTTATGGTTCTTGCCTCAGGTATCAGAATTGATAATTATGATTCTGCCCCTGCCTGAGCTTTTCCTATCCTGGGACTGACATTACTTCCCCAATACATGGGAAATGAGGCATTCTTTAACCCTCAGTCATAGTAGCCTCTTGGTGCTTTGTGGGGGATAGGCTAAGTCCTTCTTCATGCCTGCCTAGGCTTGGGTTAAACCATGGCACTATCACAGGACTAGCTTCTCTGACATTTATTTCAGGTGGGAAAGTAAGCCTAGTGACAAAAGCACAGAACTTGGAGTCAGGAGACCTAAGTGGTTCTAGTCTTGGTTTTACTAACTTGCTATATAACCACAAGCAAATCACTTCACCATTCTGAGCCTTGGTTTTTTATCTCTAAAATGGACTATATGGCCCTGTCACTAGTTCTTAACTCTTACTTTTTACTAGTTCATACAAAAAAGGAGTCTATGCTTACTAACTGTGGGACCCTGGGCAAGTCACTTAACCCTAATTGCCTCAACAAAAAAGACAATATGGGAAGCATCAGACTCTTCTGAATACAAATATGACACACAGCCTTGATCAGCTTAGGTCTCCAGGGAAGATATACATATGGGACCTGAGGAAAAACTGTAAAAGGAATCACAGTGTCAGAGCTGGAAGGGACCTTAGAAATAAATCATGTATGCCTACATTTTATAGCTTAGAATATGCTTTTCTGATCTGTTTATGCAGCCCTAACCTTTCTCCAGACCTCCATTCTCACACCCCCAGTTACCTATCCTGTCATGCGTAATTTCCATGTGTCCAAAATGTAACTCATTTTTATTCCTTAAAAACACTTTTTTTCATAACTTCCTTATTACTGTCAAGAGCACACCATCCTTAGTCATCTAGGTTGACAATCTAGGAGTCATCATCTCCTCACTCTTGGCAGCTGGGTATCACAGTGGATACAGCTCTGGGCTTTACCCTCAGATACTTACTAGCTGTGTGATTCTGGGTAAGTCACTTAAACCTGTGTCTGCCTCAACTATGGTAGGCACTTAATAAATATTTCTTTCCTTCCTTCCTATACTTTCACACATACCCCACCCCTGTCCAATCTATTTCTCAGTCCTTTTGATATGCTTTCCACAACATTCCACTTTCTGCAAGATGCTTTTCTTTGTCGTTGTTAATGTTAGAGATTATCTCTAATCATGTATAGATTTTGTTGGTACATAGTTGATTGTTGTGTCCCCCCCATTAGATTGTGAGCTTCTTGAGGGCAGGGACTGTTGTTACTTTCTTTATGTCACCAAAGCTTAGCACCATGCCTGGCATATAACAGGCACTTAATTAAAAGCTTGTTTACTTGACTACAGAGAAGTTGTCCTTGCTGCCACTTTTTTTTGTTAGCCTCAGTATGGACACCTCAGCAAATAATTTTGGTGTGTTTGGTTAAAGAGCAAGCACTCTGGGAGCTATTTTCACAGAATGATGGACCACTTGATTGTAGTTTCATCAATGGCTTTTGAGTTTTTTAAACACCACAGTCATTTCCCAGTCTCTGCCCTGCAATTGTGAAATCATATTCCAAGCATATTTCTTCATAGACAGTGTCTTTCCTTATAGGTAACAGCAATGGATGTGGATGTTAGCAAGGAAAAAAAGCCCAGCAAGATAGTTCGGAAACCATATGTCTTAAATGGTAAGTATGTTGTTATGCTTACTTGGAATATGTGCCTCCTATCTCATCACCTCAAGATGAGTCTGGAAATTGGTCTCCAGATTTACTGTGTACACATACTGATGTGGATTATTTTGGAAACAGTACAAGATTGTAAGTCAGAATATCTGAATTTGTATTTTAGTTTAACCACTTACTAATATCACCATAGGCAATACTTAACCATCCTGAGCCTCAGATTTTTATTCATAAAATGGGAATAAAAATCCCTTTCCTCATCTGGCTGGGTTGTTTTGAGTTAATTCTAGATGTGAACATACTTTAGAAATGAATCATTAAACAAGTGGAAAGTTTAGGTCTTGGCCAAGCACATTTTGACAGAGGCTGATGGTGCTTTGTCATAATAGAATGGACATTCGGAAGAGTTTAAAATCAGAGGATTGAATGTGACCTAACAAGAGGCATTTAGGCCAAACTTGCCTGAGAGCAGAGTTTGTGGCAAAGCTAGTACTAGAACCCAGGGAGTTCATAGGATGATAGAATTTAGCAGAACAGGACTATAGATATCATCCAATCTAACTTCTTTATTTTACAGATGAGGAAACTGAGGCTCAGGTTAATTAGCTTGTTCAAAGTCACATAGAAAATAGAATAATTTGATTTCTGAACTTCTGACTCCAAAATCATTATTCTTTCTGCCAACTTACTGGGAAGGTGTGGGGGAAGGGATGCTTAATAGTTTGAGTTATGTATTACACTCAAAAATTGTTATGTGGTGGTGGTGGGAAGGTGGGGAAAGAGACTGAATTTGGGTTCCTGGTGGTAGTCTGGTTGCCTTGAGGTGATGTCTAGTTACCTATAGTTTTAGGAAGCTATATCCTATCAGAAAACAATAACAACTCCTATTTTTGTGGTGTTTTAAGGTTTTAAAAGTGCTTTCCAGGGCAACTAGGTGGCGCAGTGGATAGATCACCTGCCCTGGAGTCAGGAGGACCTGAGTTCAAATTCAGCCTCAGACACAGCCTCACTACCTGTGTGACTCTGGGCAAGTTACTTAACCCCAGCTGCCTCACCAAAAGAAACAAAAAAAGTGCTTTCTTCATCACAGCACTGTGCGTTGGTAGTAGAGATATCATTATCCTTGTTTTTAGTATATGAGTGACTCAACTCAAGGTCACACAGCTAGAGCGTTGGAAGCAAGATTTAAACCCAGGTTTGAATACTCCTGAGTATTCTCTTTTTACCACCCTAATGGAAGATTAGCTGTCTCCTATGTGCATAGGTTAGGTGGCCTTAAGAATGTTGATGAGTTACATGTTAATGAGAATCTAAAGGAAAAGGCTGGGTTATGTATTTTTTCCCTCTGTTTCCAGACCTAGAAGAGGAGGCCAGCCTGCCTGAGAAGAAGGGTAATACCCTTTCACGGGACCTCATTGACTATGTGCGATACATGGTTGAGAATCACGGGGAGAACTATAAGGTGAGCATTCAGTTGACCTCTTGGGTCTCTTAGGCCCTGCCCAGAAGGACCATTGACCCTTTATCCCAAAGTGCCTGAGCATCCTGGCATTGTGGCTGAATGGCTTGTGGTAGTTAACGTGTGTGATTTCCCTCTGAGCATCTGTATAAAAGACATACAGTTTGTTTTGGCTTTGCTTAACCCCCCCCCCCCCCTTTGGAATTCTTACCCTCCCCCACCTATTGAGAAGGCAAGGAATACAATACCCATTATACATATGGAATTATGCAAAACATTTCCACATTATTTGCTCTTGAAAATGATACTTGAGGAAAGAAGAGAGGAAGACATGGTTTGTTAAAGAGTGACTGATGTGTATGGATTTTTTTTTTTTTTTAAAGGAAGTCTATTCCAGCCCATAAGATATATACAGGAATTGGCAATGTGATGTTACATTCTTTCAGAAATACTTTGCTATAGTAGCAAGTTGGAGGCACTTTGCTCAGAACAGAAAAGTGATCATTCCTGCTTATGAAGCACTTTAGGGTTTATAATATATTCTTTCCTCACAACAGTTCTGTGGGGAGGGCAGTATAAATTTTATAGAGGAGGAAACTGAGGCTTAGAGATGTAGGGTGACTTCAGAGTCATGCTTATGTTTCAGAATTTCTGATTCCCAGGTTTGCTTACTCTTTTAAGTCCAATACACTAGGCGGCCTTTCAGCCCGATGCTTCATCCATACCATAAAAAGCATATGGCCCTCTTCTTATCTACTTCCTCCTTTGGCAAGGCTGAAATGGTTTTTCATTTTGGATTCTCCTAAAGTGCCTGGATTTGGGGTATGAGATTCCCTGGTAAGAGCCATCAGCTACTGAAATAGCTTCTCCAGGATCTTTTAGCTCTGAGATTTAGCAGACCAGCATGTTGTGTTAGTTGTTGACTTAATTCCTGTATAGGTTTGGGCTTTACTTTTTGAAGAGTGGGTCCGGATGGAGGAAGAGAGATATGGAGCAGGAAGGCAATCTCATGAACTTTCTGGATCATCTCTCTGCTTCCTTTTCTCCTTAGGCAATGGCCCGGGATGAGAAGAATTACTATCAAGACACTCCAAAGCAGATCAAGAGCAAGATTAATGTATACAAGCGGTTTTACCCTGAGGAGTTCCAATCCTTTATTGATTCCCTGAAGAACAAAATGGAAGTAGAGTGAAGGACCTGTGCCATAAGCCAGTTGTGTCTTAGCTAAGTGAGCATTGTTGGAGGCCTGGGTGGTTGGTGGCCTGGAGAACTCGGTGGGGAAAATACATCTGGCAAGAAAGGAGTCCTTTCCATACTTTATTGGATTTCCCCAAGGTTGTACCCAGTCTTTTTTTCCCAGCTGGTGATGGATCATAGAAAGGGGCTGTGCTATTGCTGTAAGAAGTAGATTTCAGGGAGTTGGAGATGGGAAGGAGCCAGAACAAGTTGCCTCTATAGAAGGGATTTTTTAAAATGCAGTCTTTGAACATTAAAGTTCACGTGGCTTTGAAGCTTTCAAATGGCTGTTGTAGAACAAAAGAGGTCATGGGTTAAGATGGGCAATATTCCCCCGAGTCTGGGCACTCAGAAGTTCCTTCCGCCTAGTTACCCTCCACTATTAGAGCATCCTTCTAGCCCTTGCTGAAGCTGTGTCTGGTTCACTGTACAGCTCTTTCCCTTTGGTTCTACTCCATGGGGGAAAGAGGAAAGAAGTCTAATCCCTTTTCTACAAATCTGCCCTGCAGATGCTTGAAGCCAGCAGTCATAACCCACCCACGTTTTCTTTCAGGCTAAGCATTCCCCAGGCCCTAATTTCCCCATTTTAAGGGTGAGGCCCAAAAGCAGTGAGGTTATTTGCTCAGGACCACATAACTAGTTGGAAGTACTTAGGCCCTAAGAGTGAAATAGTAGTCTTCCTACACAGCCTCTCCTTTTTGTATGTTGTGTTATATTATATTAAACTGGGCAAGTCATTTGACCTCTCTTCTACTCAGTTTCCTCATCTGAGAGTGAGGCTGTTACCTGTACTATTTGTCTTCTAGGGTAGTTGTAAAATAAGTAAAGTGCTTTGTATACCATAAAATGTTACGTAAATATCAGCTGTTATTTGTCTTAAGAGTAATACCTTTAGTTTATACAGTGCCTTGCAATTTATAAAGCACTTTTCTAACAGCTCTTAGGAATTAACTGAGAAGTAGCTAGGATTGATATTCATATAGCGTCATAATTGTTAGCTGGAAGGAACCTCAGGTCATCTAATCTAATCTGCACCTAAACAGTAATCTCCTCACACTTGCTCAGGGGACCCACTTTCTCCTTGAAGATTGCTAGCAATGGAGAAATTTACTTTTGTGACGACTCTAATTATTAGGAAATTATTCCATTTATGGAACTGAAATCAGTGCTTTTCACCCATTATTATTCCTTTTCCTATCCTTTGGAGATAAAATAAGACTGATTCCTTTAACATACAACTTCTAAACTATTTGAAGAAAACAATCATTATTAACCCAACCCACCCAAAGTTGTCTTCAGGCAAACTGAGATGGAAGGAATCTTAAAAGTAATCTACTCCAGTCCCTCCATTTTACAGATGAGGAAACTGAGGCCCAGAAGGTTTGACAGGAAGTGCCAGAGCTAGAATTTGAACCTAGGTTTTCCAACTCCCAAGTCCAGATTTGTTAACATAGAAAGTAAAAGAAGTTAAAGGATTTACCCAAGATTATGTACCTGATAAGAAGTGGAGCTGAAACTCTCCCCAAGGTTTTTGTTTCCAAGTAGCATTGCTTTTCCCACAATACCATAGTGTTTCTTCCAAACCAAAATTGTGTTAAATAAACTGAAGGTTTTTTTTTCCTTAATAACATTTCTTTTATTTTGTACTTCTGGCATTTAGTTTCACAGTCATCTTTTAGCCACCAGTAATCCAGTTTATGTACTTCCTCAGAAAAACTGTAAACATAAGGTCTTAGGTAGAAGACTAACACTTTGCCTTTCAGAATTGGATGTTGGCCATTCTTCTTTTTCTTAATGGGCATCCATCCAAATAGCTCCAGAGAAGGGAAGGCTTGAGGTTTCTTTCCTCGTACTTATGCTTGATCACCAAGTTAAACTAAAACATGTGATTCCAATCCATAGGAATCTGAGAGGAAATGCTGTGGATCCTAACACAGAAGGGATTCGGATACTAGCTGACAACATTGAAAGTTTACAAAGCACTTTTCTTTCCTACATTACCTCCTAGTATCCTCACAACAACCCTTGGGGATCGGTGCTACAGATGGAATTATCACCATTTAATAGATGAGAACTGGCCCAAAAAGGTGACAAGACTTCCAAGGTCACACAAGTAATAAGATTCATACGTATGTTCTTTGAACCCAGCTCCAGTGTAGCCTAACTGCTGTATTAAGGTGTTGAGTTAATGACATTAATTAACACATTTTTCAGTGGCTACCGTATCCAAAGCAGTTTTCTGTGTGTTGAAGCATTGTTTATTGTACCATTTTCCAGTCTCCCTAGACCTCACCATGGGTTGGGATACCAAGATAACACTGGTATTTTGAAGGCCATTGTCATGGTAGAAGCCAGACAGTTGTGTTTATCTAGTGTTTCTGGGCATTGAGATCTTCGTATTACTGCTGGCTTGTTGGAGTGAGTGAACCAAAGTCCTGGCCAGAAGAAGCTTCAGACGTATCTGCACTGTTTCTTCTGACAAAGAACCATTTTTCTAGACTTACATGGGGGCTGAGTGTGAAGAGTTCTCCTTGGAAATACAAAAACGTACATTATTTTCATGGCTGTATTTAGCTTTAGTAATCACAAAAAGTCAGTTCAGTTTCCCACATTGATGCCAGACTGTTAAAATGAAGTCTCTTTAGAAGAAAAACATACACATACCCTGAAAAAAGTTACCATTAAGTACCTTATTAAAAATATTTCCTGTGAAAATTTTTACATTTTTTATTCAAATAAATATGCTTTCTCATGTTTATTATTTTCACTTTTATAATCTGAGCAGGAAGGAACCTTAGAGATTATCTAGTTTTAGCCTCCTCACTTTCAGATTAGGAAACAGGGCCAAAGAAGTTAATCTCTGGCATCTCTACTAAGAGTATGGTTATATCCTGAACACTGATTATACAGATATCATTTGAAGAAAAAGGTCTATTCAGAGCAATATGCTGAATAATGAGCTGTGTCTACTTCTCACCCCTTGTGAAAAAGGCTTAGTTCTAGAACCAAGTTTGAAAGATCCTAGTCATGGGAAGCAACTGATAAATTTTTTAGACCATCAGTAGGCATTTAACCTTCCTAAACTGTTATGGTAGAAAGACAGTAGATCTACAATCACTGGGCCTGGGTTCAAATCCTGGTTTTCTTATTTCCTATTCCTTGGGCCTTGGATTCCTAGTTTAAAATGATGACATTAGATTGGATGATCTCTAGATCCTTTTGTCACATTAAATCCTGTGTCTCTCAAGAGGTTTTTAATCTAGTTAAAGTCAATCAAGACAGGGGCTCTGTACATGTAAGTTCTTGATGTAGCTGCTGTTTAACAGCAAGGTAAGTTTGGGATCAGAGAAGGGGGCATGCATATCTAGGCTGGATCCTCCAAGGCAGAAGCTCTAGGTTAGGAGCTAGCTGCATGGAATTCAGGTAGTGAAAGGAGCTGGGTTGCCAGGGTTGTCTTTATAGCAGAATAGATAGGGAGCAGAGTTCCAAAGGGTCAGATTTGGGTGAGAAAAATTATTTCTCAGGAGTAGCTGAGGAAGAAGCACCAGAACTAAAAGGCAGCTAAGAGTCCTTAGCAAATAATATTTATGTTCTTATTTTGTCCTATTGGGTACCAGGTGAGATGAGGGATTTAACAATCTCCATTGTGAAGCACAATGATTAGTTATGAATCAGGAGGAAAGCTTACATATAACCCAACTGACACCTCAAAAAGAGGTGATAATGCTGCGATTGGCAACCCTCTAGCCCAGGTAACAATTCCCAGGAGCCTCTAGCTCTTCCATGCAGCATCATTCCTGAAGAATATTTCCAATGAAGCTTTTAAAAAAATTCTCAAATGACCCCAACTCTGATTTTTTTGGTGGTGAGAAAAGTATTCACAAAGTCTAAGGGCAATATTGGTTCCAAATATATTTATTACAGAATAAGGAAGCTGTGGTCCATATGCTAAAGGGAAGGCAGGAAATTATTCTGATGGTTAAAGGACCCAGACAAACTCTAAAATTGCAAAGGGCATTTCTAAAATCTTAAATCAATACTTGCCACACGTAATGACCTTTTAAGATTCCATGGGAAATAAGACTTTTCTAAATGGCTAAACAGCTAATTAGAATTCCAAATGGCAGTGACAATTTTTGTTTACAACAAAAATGGACCGTGGGGTATGATGAGTATTCTTCTAGGACACAAACTTCCAAACTTAAGCCTTCTTTCATTCATTCTTGCCTCACTTTTATATATCTTGCTCCTCTAATTTAGCTGCATTGTGGAACTGAAGTTTATTTTTGTTACTTTTAGATTTACTTAGTAAAAATTTACCTCCCTAAATTTTTTTTTCTAAATATAAAAAGCAGGGGTGTGTGGGTGTGTGTGTGTAACCATAAAGATGTTACAACTAGCATTTCAGAGCTACAAAGGACCTAGAGATCATCTAGTCTAACCCATTTTGCAGATGGGTCCCAAAAAGGGGAAGTGACTTGCCTGAGGTCACGTGCACAGTTAGTGGTAAAGCCCAGACAAGAATTCAAGCCTCTTTACTCCCATACAAGTGTTATTTTTATACTTTAACCATACTTCCTATGTGGTTATTAGCTGATTCAAAGGGAACATTAGCATGGATAAATTAAAATTCACTCTGTAATTTGGCTTTAGAACACTTGATGATGTTTAGTAGAATTAACTATAGAATTTGTTTGCATTCCCTGAGAGTGCCAGCCTGATAGTGGCAGACAGCTAGTACGGATTTTAAATTCACTGTAAGTCCGAGTTGACACCATTACAGTATTTCACAGCCTTCCAAGGTCTAAAAGCCCAGTGACATGATCTCCGTGCCCTCTTGTGCAGGCCATTACTTTAATGACATCCACAGTTTTAGTCATTTTGCCCTTTCTGGCCATGTTGACCACCATTCAATATATAAATAACAGCACCAGGAAACATGATTGAGTCTGGAATTTGAGCCTGCTTCCTATAGAAATTTTAAATGGGGAGGTTGCTATCTTGGACTGAAGCTCAAGCCCAGCCCTGCTGGCCTAATGGGATGATTTCACTGAGCAGTTTTCTGCCCCGTGAGCCTATGTGGATAGATGCAGGAGAAGAATTAATGCACAGTACATGGATACAGTACTCTTGACAGTCTGTAATAATATGCAGGACAAGATTTTAAAGTTGGACGGAATCTGAAATCATCAACTCTGCCCCTTTTATTTTACTGTTGATGAAACAGGCCTCAAGAGGAAGTGATTTGTTTAAGGTCACACAAAGTCACAACTCAAACCTAGGCCTTCTGACTCAATGTACTACACAACAGCTGCCTCCATTTTTTTCATCATCTTACTAACAGTTTGTGCTTGTTTTGGAGTGTTAACAGCCCTGAGGAAGGGACCTGGAGAGATGTTGGGTCTGGCCAGGGTCACAGTACCTCAGCAAAGTGCCTGTTAGTCCACAAATGTTAAATCTTCTTCCCTGACTTTAGGTCAAGAAGCAAGTAAACTTAGAACTTGGCATTTTTTTCCCCCAGAACCTGCTTGGAGAACATATCCTCAATATCAATGTCACTGAAATAAGAATAGTTTTAAAAGACAGCCCTAGGAGGAGACCTGGAAACGTGTCACAACAATTGATCACAATAGGCCAGGGCCAGAGCCCAGTGAAGGACAGATGCCTAGAAGTAACTAGATGTGAAATGTTGGTGTCATTGCCTCCAGGAGCCTAGGGAAAGGAACTTGGCAATCACTGTACCCTTGGTAGAGTCAGATCCTGGAAATGAAACTGGCATGAGCACTCCCTCCACTGGTCCAGATTTCAGCTGTCAAGTTGTAGCCATCTCACATGCTGTCCGTCGTCATCTGTAGGTGCTCTGCCCAATGTTCTGGGGGCCTTTTTGAATTCTTTTAATATGTTCTGGATGCCATGGCTATACTTAATATCTGTCATTCTTGCTCCATGATCAGCCTACTTCTAGTCATATTTGTGTTCCATAGTAGACTCCATACCATTCTTCAAGTTCACCACTGGTAATAGGTACTTTTTTTGCACTCACCACTTCACTTTTTGCACTTGTCACTTCAGTATTCAATCGCCTCACTGCCCTTTGGGTCACTGGTACTTTTGATTCTTCAGACAATGTGGCATTCCATGATTCCTAGCCTTACAGCATCACTGGGTGAAATGTTGGCCTTAAGAAGAAGGGCTTTTGCGCTTCCCATATCTCTACACACTCATCCAACCTGTCCTCTTTCTGCCATCTTGTAGCACCACCACCATGGTATGCATGAATGGCCTGGCAGATGCTCTCAAAAACACCAGCAATGCAGAAAAGTGAGGAAAATTCAAGGTTCTCATTAGGCTGTGCTCTAAAGTAATTCGGTTCTTAACTCATGATGAAGCACGGTTACATTGGCAAATTTGAGATCACTGGTTATCACAGAGTAGGAGAAATTGTTGTGAACTTCATGGGCAGATTAAACAAGTGTGATGTATGTAATTAGCCCCAGATGTGATGTTCAATTGAAAGATCTGGAAAAGTGGCAGAATAATCTACCATCCTGTCAGTTTGGGTTCATTGTGCTTGAAACCTCAGCTGGCATCATGGAACGTGAGGAAGCAAGATGAAAACACAGGAGGAAGATTCCCGGGATTCCTTTTTTTTTTGTTTTTAGGCAATTGGAGTTAAGTGACTTGCCCTCATAGCTAGTAAGTATCAAGTGTTTGGTCTGAGGCCGGATTTGAACTCAGGTGCTCCTGACTTCAGGGCCACTGCGCCACCTAGCTGCCCCTGGGATTCTTTTTCTAAGGGTGTAACACATAACCTACAAATAAAATGCTGGAATGGACCCCCCCCCCCCCAAAAGGGGGGAAGACTTTTACTGCAGCTAGCAGCTTGGGATCATTAAAAGTGCTGCAGTTTGTCAAAGGCAATCCCACTTTATCTTCGGTTCAGTTCTAGGCCCAGCTCTGTCCCTTTGCAGTACCTACATGAAAACTATATACTCCCCATCTAACCACTAGTCAGGCCCTGAAAATAAACTTTCTTCATCCACCTTCATGGAAACCCAGGAAGCAAATCAAACAGTGAATAACATAACACCAATAAATAATTGGGGAATTAGTCCTGACCTATGATTTCAGTAGTGTAAGGAATTGCGAGTCAGGAAACTTCCTGTACCAACACCTGTTCTGTAATTTGTAGTCCAAGAAAAGCAAAGTAGCATAACTGAGGCCACATAGCCAGTATCAGTCTGAAATGAGGCTTGAACCGAGGTTTTACTGACTATCTACTATGCCATGCTTCCTTAATAATAAAAATTAAAATAATAGTTTATATTTCCACAGTGCTTTATAATTCACAAAACACATTGCCCACAACAACCCTGTGAGGTCAGTAGCACCAAGTTCTCTTGAGCCTCACCATGACCCTGTGAGACAGGGGTTCTTTTGCCAGGCAGAGATGAAGAAACTGAGGCTCAAGGAAGGAAAGCAATTTGCTTGCAGTCAGATGGATCATAAGTAACACAGTTAAATTCGAGTCCAGGTCTTCTGACTCCAAATCTAGTGTTTTCTTCCATTATACTATAGTATCATTCATAGGCCACTTCCTGTATGAGATGGTTTGGCACTGTAGGCAGGTTATCCAAAGGGCCACTTTGTGGCCTGAGAGCAGAGCTTAAAAGGGCTGCTCACTGTGGGGCTCCCTGAAAGGTGACCACTGCCCTAGTCATCCCAGATACAGTAGGCAGAGAAGGAAAGTATCCCTCTATGGATTTCTTTCCTGGGAGCCCAGATTTACCCAGAAGCCTAAGGAAAAGAAGGAAGCCAACAGTATCTATTGAGCTCCTAAATTCTTTTCATCTGAGCACCAGGATTATAATTTTAGGATCCAGGTTCAGGATTTTGTACCTAAAAGAACCACTTTGGACCAACCCCTCATCTTACAGATGAGGACACAGGTGAGGTGCAGTGACTTCCCTGGCGGTCTAGATTGGAACCTAGGTCTTGGCTCCAAATCCAGGGCTTTCAGTGATCCTCACAAAAGCACCTCTCCAACCTGAAGGTTATGGGCTGGGTGGGAAGGTGAGTGGGGAGCCCTTACCCCAGGAGGTATATTCCCAGTCAAGCTTGGGAGAGAAGGTCCAATAGCAGTGTCCAGACATGGTGAATGCTTGGAGGTGAAGAACCTGGCCCAGCAGGGGGAATGCTGGCTGGCAGCAAAAAGAACTCACGCTGGCCAAAGGCTTGCAGGTCCAGTTCTTGCTGCAGCTGAGCCACGCTTAAGGCCTCACTCTTGTCCTACAGATGAAGAGGGAGCCAAGTCTGAATGGCAATACCATGGCATTTGTCACACTGTAGATGGGTTACCCCAGAGGGCAGGTGGGCCAGTGTCCATTAGCCCTGCTTCAGGGGAGGGGAATTTGGGGAGGGTAAAACAGTGGAGTCCCTTAGTATGGATTCAACTCTTCCCTCATCTCCCATATCTACCTGCCCTTACCACCTCCTTTGTCTTTCATTATTCTCTTTCTAACCCCCCACCCTTGTTACCTCCAGTCATTCTAGTGGTCCCTGGATAGCTTTGCTGATTAAATACTGGATAGTGGTGGGCCTTGCAGGAGGGATTCCTTTCAATGGCTGTCCCCCATGCCTGCAGTGCCCTCCCTCCTTACTTCCTGACTTCCCTGGTTCAAATCCTAACCTTTTGCAGGAGACCTTTCCTGATCCACTTCCTTCCCTCCTCCCCATTCCTACCTCTTCTCCCCAATCCATCCCAGTGCTTTCTCTCTGGAATGGCCTTCAATGACTTCCATTGCATATATCTCACATATATGTGTGTATATATATATATATACACACACACACACACACACACACACACACACACTTTTCACTGTATATATGTATATAAAATTTGTTGTATGTTGCCTTTCTTTGCCTATCCTCCCCACTTAAGACAATATCTGACATGTAGTAAGTACCTAGTAAATGCTTGTTGATTGACTGACTGCCCTCCTGACATCCATGACATACCTAGAATTGCCACATTTCCCACTGTAGACACTGGCTCTTAGATAAAAATGGGGGATGGGGGGAATCAGAGGATCTACAACCCAGGTTTGCTGACTCTAAGTCCCTTGTTCTTTTCCATTACAATATGGCTTTAAAGGATGCCTCAGCTTAGGGGCTTTATGTGAGTAGAAGGACTTTAGGACATAAAGATGGAAGGGGACCTTAGACATCATCTAACTTCCCTATTCTCCTCACTCTTGTTATAGGACTTCTCAGCTAGTTTAGGAAGATGTTTGTATTGGAATGAACCCTGAACTGGCAATCAAGAATCTGGTTTGAATTCCCAGTACGATGTAAGCTTCTTGAAGGTATAGACTGTTTTTCCTTTGATTTTTTAGCACAGTACTTGTTAAATTTCATTTTGCAGATCAATAAATGATCCCAAAGAAAGGAAATGGCTTAGTTTAGTCTTCTGAATCCAAATCCAAATCTAAGGTTCTTTCCCTACACCAGATTCCATTTTAAACAAATGAAATTACAGGAAAATCTGTTGGCTTCTTTTTAAAAAATTATTATTATTTTATTTTATTTATTTTTTTGGTGAGGCAATCAGGGTTAAGTGACTTGCCCAAGGTCACACAGCTAGTGTTGGCATCTTAATAAGCCTGTCAATCTACTCTCCCTTCCCTTCATCCTTCAACACGGCTCCTTACACGAAGGCTGAACAAGTTAATTTTCCTGTCTGGGCCTCAATCTTCTCACCTACAAAATGAGATCATCTCTAAAGTCTTGTTCCTTCTTTAAAACCCATATGTCCTACATAGGTAAAGCCCCCAAGTTGAGTCATCTCTGAGCAGCTATGGTGTAGGAGAAGAACAAGGGATTTGGAGCTGGAAGACAGGTTTAATTCCTTGTCTTAGCATTTACTAGCTGAGTAACTTTGGGCAAGGTCATTATCCCCTCTGAACCTCAGTTTCCTAAGCTGTGAAACTGTTGAGCGGGGAAACAGGACTGGATGATTCTAAGGTCCCTTCTACCCCTAAATCCCACAATCTTGTGACTTGGGTTCAAATTTGAATTCCGCCATTTCCTGCTATGACTAGCAGCTATTATTTATGTATCACTTTAAGATTTGCAAAGCACTTTTCAATCTTTATCTCATTTTATCTTCACCCACAACCCCTGGAGTTAGAAGCTATTATTATCCCCATTTTGCAGACAAGAAAATTGCCTCGGGCAAGGCACTTACCCAAGCTGAGGCTCAGTTTCTTCCTTTTAAGAGTGAGGATAATAATAATGTTTGTACTAATTAACTCTGAAGAATGTTGAGACAAAAAAGATTGTAACCTTTAAAGCTGTATAGAAATTACAGTGATCCCAAGGAGACCACCCTCTATACAGCTTTAAAGATAAGAAGAAAAATCCCTATACACACCAAGGTATTTCTAGCAGCATTTTTGGTAGCAAAGAACTGGAAACAGAGTTGATGCCTGATTGGGAAATGGCCAAACTGTAATACATGAATGTAAGGGAATATTGCCCTACCTTATCAGAAATGAAGAATGTAATGAATATGGAGGAAAAATGGAAAGAGCTACATGAACTGAGGCAGAGTGAAGTAAGCGGGGCCAAGAAAACTATGTATGATGACAATAATGTAAACAGAAAGAAACACACAAAAAAGTGAATGCAGCAAAATCACAAAAGAAAAATCATGGCTCAAAGGAAGAAATAGGATACATGCCCACTTTACCCTTTTGCAGAGATAAGAAGTCGAAAATTATGGTACATCATACATTTTCAGGCTACTTTGATATACTGATCAGTTATGTTGATTTTTCCCTCTTTTTCTCTTATTTGTCTTTTTAAAAATTGTCTATTATATGGGATGGTTCTCTGGAAGGGGAAGGGAGAATGATATTGGGGAAAATTACGTCAATATAAAAAAGCAAATGATATCAATAAAAACTTAGTTTTAAAAAAATTTAGTAATCATTATAGTTATTATTGAAATTCTTGAGTCAGCCTATATGAGCTAGTGCTAAAAACAAGTTCTGCTTCATCCCTCAAGAGCTGACTCACTGACCTGTTTATTGGCTACTACAACCACAGGAAGGTCCGGATCTTCTGCCAGCAGCATGTGCAGCTCTTGCCGAGCACAGGGCAGCCGTAGCCGGTCAGCAGAGTCTACCACAAACACCAGCACATCTGCCTGGCTCAGGAACTCCTTCCAGTAAAACCGCAGGTTCTGGCTGCCACCAACTGAGAGGGAGGAATGGAGGGAGAGACAGACAGAAGGATCCCAGTGTAAATGGTAGAAAAAGACCCTAGAGATCATCTATTCCAGAGTTCTTAATCTTGTTTTGTGTCCTGGCAGTCTGGTGAAGCATATGGATCCCTTCAAAGAATGTTAAATGTATCAAATAAAATACAAAGGAAATCAATTACGTTGAAATACAGTTATTAAAATATTTTTTCAAAAACTTACAGATCAATTGAAACCTATTCACAGTTCATGGACCCCAAGTTAAGAAACTGATCTGATTCAATTCTCACATTTGATGTATCAAGAAACTGAAACCCAGAGTGGGGAAGGAACTTGGGACAAAAACCAAAAATAGCAGAACCAGGAATCAAACTCGGTTCTCTGACTCCAAATCAAGAGTTTTCTTTACCACGTTGTACTATGTACTGTAAAAAGCACCAAACCATCCTGGTGGCCTTAGAAACTCTCCATTCACTGACCACTTTCTGACCTCTGGACCAGCATCATCATTTTGGCTAATCTCACCCACATATACATGTACAACAAGCCCATTCCTGCTACCAGTCCCTTGCCCCAAAGGTTCCTCTCTCCAGGAAAGCCCTCCTCTCTGCTGAGCAACCTTGCTTGCCTCCTACAGAGAGAGATCTTTCCCAATTTCCTTAGTTATTGGTGATGCCCATTACAGTAAAGTTACTTTGTATTTTGCATTTACTTACCTGCGTATGTGTTTTGTCCTCAGTCAAGCGGAATGTAAGCTCCTTGAGGGGAGAACCTGTTTTATTTTATCTTATTTTTTTTTTCTTTGCATCCCTTATCATAGTGGATAGAAAGCTGGCTTTGAAGCCAGAAAACTTGATTTCAGGACTGGTTCCCAGGGCAAGTCATTGTCTCCCCAAGAGATAGTTCTATGTATTAGTGTTCTAGACAGCTCTCTTGGAGAAGGTACTGACCTGGACTGGTAGAGGGAAGTTTCTCACCTGGAAGTTTATGAAATCACAGGTCCAGTGCCTATTCCCAGTGCCTATTCCCAGTGCTGAGAATAGTGCCTGGTGCATGGTAGGCACATAATAAATACCTGCTGAATTGAATCAAGGTCATTACCTTGGTTGTTCTCCCACATAACAAGCTCGTTTCTAACTGTACTCTTTGCTTGTACAGACCTCCCCTGAGCCTGAAACATCCTTCCTTCTCCCTTCCCACCCAAATCCTGTCCACCCTACAGCAACCAGCTGGAACCCCACCACCTCCAACAATCCTTTCTCCACTTTTCCAGCCCACTCAGATTTTCCCCCAGGTCCCTATACCCATAGGACTTGGAGTCTGTACCATATACTCTAGCTTCAAGCATATACAGTAGTGACTTGTATTACTGCCTAATTGTTTTGTCTCCCCCAAGAGACAGCTTCCGGAGAACGGGGAACATTTCTGCTCATCTCTGAAATAAGAGAGGTAGACCAGGTCTCTCACATCCCTTCCAGTTGTGACATTTATATATGTTATATATATATGTCATTAACAATTTATTTTTTACTTCCTGAGTGCCTTATAATTATTTTCCCCCATTCCTTCTCTTGATATGGGCCTTGGCTATGCCAACCTCACCCTCTAGCAAATCCATCTGGAAGCTCTCCGTGGGGAGCCGAACAGAGTTGAAACCCCAGGTGGGAGCCATGCGCTCTTTGGCTCCATGGCCGGAGAGGCAGTGGAGGATGGTGCTTTTCCCAGCTCCATCCAGGCCCAGCACCAGGACCTGTCGCTCATCTGGATCCAACTGCAGAGAAAGCAGATGCAGAAACACAGGACAAAATAGAGAATACAGGTTTTGTACCCTGTGCCCTTCCTTGGGATACATTGGAGCCCCTAGTCAGCCCTTGGGAAACATCTGACCCTCCCTTGTTCTCCAAGAAAGCATACCAATTTGAGAAGGCAGCATCAACAGTAGCTCTCTACTAAATTCAATGAAAAGGACATTCACACATTCCAAACAGTACCTTCACCAACCTTAGTGTCCAAAGGTACCAAGAACAAATCTGTGTGACCCTTACCTAAGAAAAGAGCTGTGCATTTTCTAAGACCCTTCTTGGACTACAGCATTGGTTTGAGAGAGAGGACTTTCCCTCCCAAGTCTCCACGGGAATATCTAATTTTCTAATTCTGTAAAATAAGGGAAAGGAAGGTTCTCTATTTGTTAGCCTGGACAAGCAGGAGACTAGGCATTGCCCAATTTATGGGAACCAAGTGAGAACATTAATGGCTGTGGTATCAGAATATGTAAGTTTGACTCCTGGTTTTGCATCTTAATATCTGAGTATGCCTTGGGAAGATGAGTCTCCTTAGCTGTAAAATGAGGGGAATAGAACTAGCCCACATGGAAGGGCCCTTTCAGCTCTATGACTATAGATGCTGAAAGTAAGAATACTAGATTAGCATAGGAACTGGCCAGGCCTCTAAGATAGGGTAGGGTAAAGACCTTAGAGCACACCAAGTAGATTAGGACACAGGCTAGTACAGCCCCAGGAATAGAAATGCAGACAGAGACACATACAAAAAGTGAGACAAAACTTTGCACACATGGTTGTGCGCACACACAGATGCACACACAAAATCACAGATGTGTAAGCACAAAGATGCACATAGGGAAACCCAGACTATCTATCGTAAGCTAACTAGCTGAGAAAACCCCAAGGTCATTCCATTGCCCACCCTGCTCCCCTCGCCTGCCCTCCCAAGAGGTGGGGGAGGGTGGGTGACATTTGATCCACCCTGAGTTGGAGTCCGGAGCGTATTGTTCCCCGTATTTCGCTCCAGGGCTCCGTGCCGGGCTCGCTGCCCTCCTCTCGCTTAGCCCAGGCATCCTGCTCACCTCCCCCACGTAGGGGCTCAGCTCCGCTTCCCACCAGGGCCTCCGCCGCCGCCCGCTCCCGTCACTGAAGTAGGCCTTCCATACAAAGAAGAGCACTGAGCCCAGCACGGCCACAGCACCACCCAGCAATAGCATAACGTGGCTGAGGGACCGTGGAGCCATGAGGAGGTGCAGCAGGATGAGGAGCCAGAGCCTGGGCGTGAGCTGGAGCCAGAGGCAGAGGCAGAGACAGAGGCAGAGCCTATGCCCAAACCACAGCCCAAGCCACCACCCAGACCCCGCAAAACCCGCCCTGAAGCAGCCGGCTCAGCCCAGCTGTGCTGCGGCTGCAGACTCTTACTCCCTCTCCTCCCTTCTCCCCCCGCCCTCTTAAAGGGGACGAGCTCCCTTCCTCGAGCTGGTTTGATTAAGCAATCATCCACCTAAAAGATAGATCTGCAGTCCCACTGGTACCTGCCCTGGGACCGCAGCGTCCTGGTCCCAACATTATACTAGGCAGATCATCTTGAGGATAGTCCTTCCCTGGACCCCCAGTCTAGCCCCATCCCTCAATGACTACAAGCCCCAGAATTCACTTCCTGCTATCGTGACTGGGCTAGCTTCTGGTGTACAATGCCTCCAGTCGCAATAGCAGCTTCAAATTCCTCTGCGTTGAGGATGCTGAAGAACGTAGGAGCATAGAATCGGAGCTGGAAGTCCAACTCCTTTGTTTTATATATGAACAATGTTATTCCCATTTTACAATTTGGGAAACTGAGACCCAGAGGAGTGAAGTGACTTAAGTAGTAAGAGATCAGGCATAAGAGTAGAATATAATAGCTCCCTTTTCTATATAGAGCTTTAAAGATTTCAAAGCACTTTCTTTACAACAGTTCTATGAGGTTGGGTAGTGTATTATTAGTCCCAGTCTATAGAGGAGAAAGTTGTGGTGCAGAAAGAGGAAGTCTCTTGCTGAAAGTCACCCAGTGGCATAGTCAGGAATTGAATGCAGGTCTCCTGATTCTGGTCACCTTCTCTTTCTACAGTAAGTGCCAGCCTTTCTAAAAACCTAAGAAGGCTCTGTGAGTCAGACATGACTCTTACTCTCTTCTTAACTCTTTCCAGTGTGACTTCTGACTTCACCATTCAGCCAAAATTCAGCCAAAACTTCACATTCAGCCATAAACTTCTGATAAGTTTATCAGAAACTTACTCTCTCCGAAGTTACTAATGATCTTCTGATTTTTGAATCTAATGACTTTTTCTCAGTCCTTATCCTTTTTTTTTTTTTACTTTTCTGCAACCTTTGGCACTGTTGATCACCCTTTTTTGCTCGATACCTTCTTTTCTCTAGATTTTTATGACACTGCTCTCTCCTGGTTATCCTTCTATCTGTCTGCTTGACCCTTCTCTGTATCCTTTACTGGATCTTTATCCAGGTTATGCCCACTACTCTTGGGTGTTCCCTAAGGCTCTGACCTGGGTCCTATTCTTGTCTCCTAATGCTATTTCACTTGGTGATCTTATCAGCTTTCGTGGTTTAAACCTTCATCTCTATGTCAATGCTTCTATATCTACCTATCCTTTCTCCTTTTCCTTTCTAACCCTTCTCTTTTCAGCACTGGAACACCACATGGCCAGAAGCATCCAGGAAGCTCATCAAACCCAAAAGGCAAGAGATGTGAATCCCCATGTTCTTGGAGTCCCTGTAAATTTCCAGGGAAGTTTTGGGTTACATGCTTTCTGAAATGGCTCTTACAGGCCAATTCAACTTTGAATTGAATTTAACATTGAAATGATAAACTAAAGGGTCAAGAGAAACAGAAGAGAAGAGAGGAATTTGAAGAGAGGAATAGGAGGTCTAAACAGGGTTGATAGACTAGGAAAGCAGGATGGAATGAATCAAATGGAGGTTGCAATTAGGGCAAAGTTTTGGTTTAATAAAATGAGGTACAAAAAGAGATAGAAGAAAGGAGGAATTTTTTAAAATTTCCCTTTTTTGTTATAAACTTAATAATCAACAATATTTCAACATACCAAAAAGAGGATTGAATATGAAACTGCAAACTTCAACTGCATATCTTGTTTTTTTAAAGGTATGTATTCAGTTTTTAAAAGGTAATAACAAAACTACCATGTTTGTAGGAGATGAGCAATTTCAGAATTATGGATTATAGAAGCAGAACACTTGTGGGTGTTGATGATCAGATTAAGAAAATGACCATCCCTAATTCTTGTGTATAGATGAGGTGGAGTGGAGGCGATCTCATGGGAGATGAGAAGGATGAAATTCTGGGAAGCAAAGGACATCAACTTGTCAATTTAAAGTTTCCAAACGTAAGCCAGGCTGGATGAGAAAACTGTATGCCAGGTACTGAACCCCTTCAGAAAGGAGAAAGAATGACTTAGGAGCCAGTAGATAACCATCAGATGGAGAAAAGGTAACCCAGTAAGCATGAAAGAAGTTGCTGAGTGATACAAGGGAGAGGGCCTGGAAATGGCAGTAAGGACCTGCAAGTATGCTTATTCCTCCTCTTGGCCCAGTGTGTTGGGGGTGGGGGTGGCAGTCGTGATGAGAAAAGCCACATCTAGGACTGGAGAGGATGACCAAGGCTTCAGTGTATTCTGGGGAAAGATGAATTTTCATGATTGCAGGAGTATAAAAGAAGCATAAGAGGAAGAAAAATACAAAAGGCAGCTTGTTAACAACAGAATGGGAGGTGCATAGGACAAAATGGAAGGGAAGTAGATGGCCCTGAAGTCAGGAGGACCTGAGTTCAAATCTGGCCTCAGACCAAACACTTGACACTTACTAGCTGTGTGACCCTGGGCAAGTCACTTAACCCCAATTGCCTACAAAAAAAAAGAAAGAAAGAAAGAAAGAAAGTAGAATGGGATAGAAACATGGGAGAGAGTTCAGCAGGGCTTCCATGGATAGATATGGAAACAGAGAGGAGTGACCAGGAAAGGGGGCTTTTGTGTAGGCAGGCAGCCTGTCACTAGGATTTTGAATTGTCTAGGGTCAAGTAGATCATAGTTGATGAATATGGAACTGGAACCCACGTATGCTGTTCTTTCTCACTGAACTTTCTATTCTATTAACCTGTTTTTGATGAGATGGGCCCCGTGTTCAAAGATGAAGGGTCTGTTTAGTGCAGTAAGAACCCAGTATGGTATAGTGGCTCAGAGACTGGTCTCAGAGTCAAGAACACTTACCTGGGTTCAAGTCCCACTTCTTACACAGATTGTCCCTATAACCCTGGGTAAGTTATATAACCTGTCAGTGCCCAAGGCAAAGTAGTAAGATCAGAAGTTGCAGAGGTCTTGACCTACATTGGTAGAGGAAGTACCTCACTGGGAGTTCCCTACTCTGATGAAATCACAGGTCTAATAAAAATGTGTGTAACAAGATACAGTTCATAGCCTAAAGAAATTTAATCCAGTAGGGGAATAGGACACATAGAAATGTAATTACAAGATAAAATAAAGCAAAAGTATAGACTAGTCTGGGTTCAATTTTCTCTATAGTTGACTCCAAGATCTATATAACCAGTCCTACTCTCTCTCCTCTCTCCATTTTCATATCACTTACTATCTATTGGACATCAACAAGTAGGTATCCTGTAGGTATGTCAAAAACAATATGGCCAAACCAGAACAAGTTAGATTATTGGAGCCAAGGTGATGGAATAGCAGGAAGAAGTACAGCAGAGGTCTCCCCTATAATCCCTCCACAAAGAGCTAGAAAATGTATCAGACCAAATTCTGAATGTGAAAACCAAGAAAAAGACACAGTGAGTTATTTTTCCAGCCCAAGTCTAGATAGGGATACAGACAAAGAGGTTGGCTGACGTTGGAGATTAGGTTTTGTCAGGAACAGTAAGCTCTGTTGAGCATTCCAGAGTGCTAAGAGACTGTGTGGATTAAGAAGATGGTGTCTTGGGAGAGTGGGGAAGGATAGAGAGAAAGACACAGATAGTAATCATAATTGTGAATGTGATATATGAATGTAATGGAATACTATTGTGCTGTAAGAAATGATGAACAGGCAGACTTCCGATAAACGTGGAAAGACCTGTATGGTTTGATGCTGAGTAAAGTAAGCAGAACCAGGAGAACGTTGCACACAGTAACAGCCACATTGAGTGATGACTGACTTTGATAGACTTAACCCCTTTCAGCAATACAAGGATCTAAAACATCTCCAAAAGCCCCATGATGGCAAATGTTATCCACATCCAAAGAAAGAACTATGGAGTTTGAATGCAGATTGAAGCATACTATTTGCTATTTTTTTTTCTTCTGTTGTGTTTTGTATCCTCTTTCTGGTGGTTCCTCCTATTGGTTCTAGTTCTTACTTACAACATGATTAATGTGAAAATATGTTTAATAAGAATGTATATGTATAGCCTATATTAGATTGCATGCCGTCTTAGGAAGGAAGATAGGGAAGGAGGGGGAGAAAAATTTAAAACTCAAAAGCTTATGGAAGTGATTGTTGATAATTCAAAATAAATTAATAAAACATTGTGAAAAAAAGGAGATGGTGTCTTGATATTGTGCAGGATTCAGAAATAAAGTGCCAACTGGCAACTCTGTTGCTCAATATTCTATTCAGGGTCATAGATCTAAGGCCTACTGAAGAAAGGAGCTGTGCCCAGGAGTGATATTCAAGGGTGAGGAACTCTTCCAGACTTTAAGCTGTAGGTATTGAGCAAGGAGTGAATTTAGAAAAAAACAGTAGCTGTGTGTCTATGACCCTGAGAGGAAAGTGGGGATGGGGAGAGGGATCTCAATTACAGCCTCTGGCTCAGTCTGAAGCTTATAGCAAGAACAACTAGGTCTGGAATCCCACATCAAAAGAGAGCCTATAGTTCTGTCACTGTGAATCAACAGAACTCTCCAATTGGCTGATATTAAGTCTAGCATCTGTCTACTGGAACTCCAACAAGGGGTATGACCTGAGGTATGTTACTCAGCCCCAAACGATTAGACCAGAAAGTCAACAATCACAATCAAACTTTACCATGGATCAGACCATTTCAGCAGCACTAAATGCTAGTCTGTTCCTGAAATCCTGTAATGCATAACATTCAATACCTCAAGAAAGATCGGACATTCCTTTCAGAAGTTCACATAGCCTAGCACTATTTTAAAGTCTGAAGTCAGGAAGTAAACTGGAAGATTGAACAAATAAAAAAAAAAGAATCCCACCATGAAAAGCTATTATGGTGACAGGGACAATCAACATACAAAATCCAGAAGAAGAGAATGATTCCAAAATATCTATGAGCAAAGC